GGTTGAGGTTCTTTTTTTCTGCACCACATTGAAAGGGCGTGATTTTGTTTTTTAAGCACAACTGGTCATTTTTTGTCGGCATCGGGATGTTGCTTGGCCTTGAGGAGGAAAGGATATTCCCCCCCTGGGTCTAAGGACCTAATCTCCCACCTCACCGCGTCCGTGTGCCGTAGGACGGTCATAGCACAGCATAGCTGATTCTCCGCTCAAGAAAAGGCTGAGGTGAGGTAAGGTTTTTGTGATGATCCTGTATTGCCCGGGTGGTAAGTTTTTCATTTGATCCCAGCTTTAAGTGTAATTTTATGGATATACATTACTATTTCTTGCTCGTTGGTAATGCATAATTAATAATATTTTGAAGTGTTTTTGTTAGCTACTTGGATAAGTTAATGTTGCAGTTGTGTTCTTTTTTATTATTTCTAGTGCTAGGGCGTTAGCGCTGTGTTGTTAGCTGTCAAAGACCTCTGTGCAGACTATATTTGAACCACCGGCCGATCGCAGACCGGAAAGGTTTCAAAGTTTGCTGCCGTTTATATCGCCCAATTTTCAAAAACGCGATCAAAAGTCCAAATCTCCCTGACTCGTCCATCATCCTCCATACTTCAAGTGACTCCAAGAAATAAGGACCGCACCTTGAGTAGCGCCCACTACCACAGTCTCACCAGTGAGCCAACATGTCTTGTGCTAGAATCCTTGATAGTTTTAATAAAGAATTTGTTTAATTGCAAATTTGGGTGTCCATTGAATGCTTAATAAATATATATACAGTATTGTATCTGCATATATATCGTAGTCACTTCATATCGTATGTTAATCATGTTTAATGTTGGCCATTGGTGCCCATGGCTTTTGGCCTTTGTGAGCCCTTAAAAATTACGAACTCAAAAGGCCAAGTGGCTTGCCCTAAAATGCACGAAATTCCAGGCCTGATCAGGTATAACCTAAAGTAGTATTGATAATATAGTAACCGTTACTGGCAGGACTGTTTGATACTGAAGTCCATAACAGCAAACTAAATGTGCAAGTTATCAGCAGTATCCTGCGTCGCTAAAACATCCAGGAGTTGAGAAAATAGCTTATGTAAGTAGCCTTGAAGTTATATCCACTGTGGTTTTACAACGATTGGCCGAGAAAGGTTTGGAAGCCTCCGTTGATATGCCCGTTGTAAATGGCTTGATTGGAAAGCAGGTTTGTAGTCGGGGAGGTGCACAGCTGATTGCAACAGGTGAGTGGAGGTTGAGCCGGAGCCAGGAGTGACATGCCACCACACCCACACAACAACACAGACAGTAGAAACAAACAAACACAAAGGAAGACGGCTGGAGGAGTACAGCCACCACGAGCGTGCCTAATGCAACTCCACACTATGTCTCTTACGGTGCCGTGTACCGGAGGGGAGAGAGAGAGAGAGAGGAGCGAAGGGCGGGAGAGAGATGATGTAATACGGTTTTCATGATAAACGTTTTGCTTGATAGGGCCTCCGCTGTGGAGAGTATGTGCCTGCAGGGAGGTGATGCACCTTGCCACAACACACCCAGGAACGAAAGCTAGCTTCGGTACTTTTCCTGTTAGGGAAACTGTGGACTCGATGTCCTGACGCCTGGAGTTTGTGGCAACCTGCAAACAAACTCCAGCCTGTCAGGACATCGAGTAATGTATGCAAGTATTACCGAAAAAATACGAGCTCACTAAAATTCACAAACCGCTCAAACCAACTACAAACTACTACCGCGGATTGGGCCAGAGAAGGATCTTGATAAAGTTGCTCCCCCATGTGACGTAATATGAAGCCGTTTGACGTATGACGTTAAAAAAAAGCATTTTTTAGTAGCAAGCAGCTCAAAAACGGCTCCTTTCCCTCTGATTGCCCTTATGTCTTGTAAACCAATGAACAATCCTGCAATCATCACTTTTTAATTGTAATTTTCAGGCAAAGGTTAATCATAAATCTAGTAATAAAAAAAAAAACCTGCAAGTTGCTCTTTAAAGCTTAAACCTTCCGGACAAAATTAGAAAAGTGGCCGGTCCAGAGGAGGTCTTTGTTATTTGTTGGAGTTTCAAACCAATTGATAAAACGACTCTATATAAATAATAAAAGAATAATAGAATGGAGCCCTCTCCTTTTCCTTCCCCCTCCTCCTGACAGCACATCAGCAATGACGTGGGGGGAGCAGTAGAGGTGGGGAGAGGCGGTGCTAGTGCGTCATCATTATCAGGAAATGATTGTATAGGGCGTACACACGGAGCCGTTTGCCCCCCCAGAGCGTTGCGTCCCCAGATCTACCCACCTTGGGACCCGTTATTGTTATCTGCGTTTCCCTGTCGGCCTCGTGTGGCCAAGCCGTTTATATGATAGAGAACTGTAGCAGATACGACCGTTACCGTTCTCGTGTGGCTGCAGCCTAAGTTAGAGGACCCTGTATAATGCTAATTTTCTATCATTTCTACTCAATTATTGCTGCAGTTTCGCTTTCTTTGGTCTTGTGTGCTGTCTACGGACTCCTCTGTACATATTAAGCTATGTCATGTTTAAATTAAAATGCTCTCTGGTATCATTGTTTAACACTTGGTTGATATTCTTCAGCTATGTTGATTTCATTTGCATAAATAAGTTATAAGAATACAGCATATTTAGTTAGCAAAACTGCTTGTCGCTTTTTTTCTTTTTCAAATGACACTTTTGTGTGTTTGTTACATAACCCTCTACCAAAGATTGGCTCTTGCACACACTTCAGAGATCATTTTAATGGTCACTTTCATATGCTCTTTTCTCATAGAGATCTTCTCCCATAGAGAAGAGCATGAGAAAATCCAAGCCTTGCTCTTTTTTTCCGTTACATATTTGATGGCGTATATTCAAAGAGTAATATCGCTATTGGGGGAGTTCATAGAGGAACGCTGAAACAATACACTGAAAAAACTGAAACGTTGACTTCAATTAAATGTTTTATGTCAACATATTTCACATAGTTGAAAGCAATAATATGAAGTTTAAATACAAAAATATTAGGTTCAACTTAATATTATTGCTTTTGACTGAGCTAATACAGTTAAGTGAAAGTGTCACGTCTGTCATCGAGGCTATCCTGCAGTGTGCTAAGGCTAGGCTGAATTCACCACCTTACTTTCTTACATTTTGAGGTATTTTTTGTATATCTCAACAATAGGAAAAAGAAAACAGGTCCCCATGCTCATTTCCCGGAGCAGCAGTGTCTTCAGTGCTGCTTCAGGATGATTAGAGAGGGAACAAAGTAGCACCTTCACAGGGAGGCAGTGAGTCAGCAGAACACACCGCCGACTCACAAGTACAATTCTCTGTAATTTTGTGGAACTGTTGTCAGTCTTTGTCCACTGTAGAAGCTCTAGGAAAACTCAGACTTTATCAAACTAAAACATCATGTTGGCAGGATGCTTACTGGTGACCTTTCAACCTTTATTTAGTATTTCTTAGGCAGTCGTCATCCTATTTCTTTTCAGGTAATTCACATTATATTCAATAGCGGCACCTACTACTCATTGCAAGGAAATATGTCTGGCAGACTGAAAATCCAGCCTGAATGTATGCTTTCAGCCTACCTCTATCATGCATAGTAAATCCTTGCGCATAAGCCAGTTGAGATTTCCATAATACAAAGCTCCTGTCTCCAGCGCTGAATTAGCACACTGTTCTTTGTAACCTCAGACTCTTCTTTGTAATAGTTTATCTCAGCGATGGAGCCAGACTGCAGCAGTAAATCTCTTTTTCAACACTTGTAAGCTGACATCTTGTTTTGTGTGTGTGTGTGTGTTAAAGCTGTTTTCACCGGATAAAAGTAATTCATCCGTCCTCTGTTGTCCTCACACAGGTGCCTGTTTCTGCCCAGCCTAGCACCTCACAACGCCCCCACCAACAACACCAACGCCTCAGGTGTCAGTGATGGAGCCGTGCTGAGCGGCATGGGTACAGGTAAAGACCCACCACATTTTATTTCTGTTGCTTTTGGTTAATCTGGTACAATGTTTACACACCTAGCCTCTACATTGAACTTTAGAATATAGAGACATATTTGCTGTGTCATCTCAACACCTGGGTACTGTCTGGTTTTAGATTGGCTAGTTTTTCCTGAAATGACAAACTGCTGCTGTGTCCTGACAGGAAGTCACAAAGCCCAAAGGAATTGCACCGGCCGTTGAATAATATTGTTTCTTAGAGGCCAAACGGTGGTACTTCACTTCTGTTCTAGTTTGGGCCCAAGAATAAATGCTCCCATTGACTTGCATTTGGAAAGAGGGCTCTGTAAATCAGAAAATCGTTTTTTCAGCTAAATAAACTACACAGTACAAACACCATTGCGGTCCTTATTTGAATCATTAGGGCATAGAAGTTATACAATGTTGGAATCCAGAGTTTTTTTCCACTCTCCATTCATTTGACTGAACCAAGAAAAGCAGATCGGAGGCAAGCTCAAGGAAAACTCAAGTGCACATGCTCTAATGGCGCTGATCTGGGTACTTTTTAAATCTCCAGCTGCTCCAGTTGTCTTTATACATCCATGGAGGTGACCAATGCCGCTGTTAGCTAGCTCTCTAGCACTGTTATCATTCAGGGTAGAATCATTTCAGACTGCACAATTACCCAATAGAAATGAACAATAGGCGCGTTCACACCACAGTACTTTTCCCACTTTTTTTGTGAAGCCGCCATTTTATTATCCTTGCATTAGCATTATTAGCATTAGCCCAGCGCACAGACACAGAGAGAATAACTTATGGCAACACAAAATAAAACATGGGAGCGGTGGAGATGAGGAGGTGTCGGCGTTCTGGCGATTTACTCTGAAGCCAGTCCCCAACTCCGGGGACTTCCGGCTGGGGACTTCGGATGGCAGTATACACCGTGAAGTTGTTTGCGGCCTGCCAGTAAACCCAAAGCAGAAGGAGAAGAAGTGACGTCAGCGGCTTAATTTGCCTAATCCTCCCCCAGGGACTAATTCCGGTGTGAATGCGATCTGTAAAGAGTTCTCATGAACTTAGTTCTGATGAACCTTTGTGGGAAAAGTACTGCGGTGTGAAAGCGCCTAATGACTTCCTTTCAACATCAGTAAAGTGATATGTTTATTCAGCAGTGAAAAAAAAACCACATGTATAACTTTTATTTTTATAGTGGTGTGTTCACCAGACCAACCAACCGCTAGTCACACAATTTCTGTTGTGTTGCCACGATGGCGATCGTTGAGGGGGAGAAGTGTCCTGCGTTCCACACTCACACAGACATTTAAAGTGGACCTATCATGCTATACTTTAATAATATATTGTAGGGCCATACCTATATAAAACATGTTTTTTCAAAATACCTAACAGATCATGCATTTTAGCCATGCCTTATTTCTCTCTATTTGCTCTTTTTTAGCCCTGTTTTTGCAAGGGCTGAATCTGTGGGAAGTCTTCTTCGCTGCTTTTGTGGCAGACTACAGCGCCACCTTCAGGCCTGGCATATGTACAACAGCGTCTCCAGCGCTTTCGAACGGCAATGGCCGTGGCTGTCTCCTCCTGATAGGTGGAGAGTTGGCCATATAGGCGGAGCTCCTCGTTTCTGACGTCAGAGATATTTCAAAGCTGTATCAGTCTGTATCAGATCTGTTGCAGCCCCGTTTTTAGAGATTTGGGTATGGAGGAAAAGAGAGAGGGTTATGTTTTCTGACACTTGGTGAGTTCCCTGACACACCGGGGACACATATTCATGTATAAAAGATATAAAAGTGCATTTTGCATGATAGGTCCCCTTTAAATGAGGAATGGAAACGACTCTATGTTCAATGTTCTGATCAAGTGGCAACCTCTGGGGAAGAGCCGGGACGCCAATTCGGAAGTGCCACACACTGCAGTTAATCTAGTGGCCAGTAGGAGCAGTCTGCAGAAGGGAGCAATTTCCATAGACCCCCATGTTAAAATGCCCAAATTTACAGCAGAAATAAACATGTTTACATCGTGGTTCAAAAAACCATATTCTCTGTATAGTTAGATCCCCCCTTCATGAATATGGATTGGGGGGGTGCATTTTTTCTCAACTCATCTGTTTAATTCATATTGAGCCTTAAAGTTATGCATATATTAGGGCATGGTCACATTGACTGCTGCTGCTAGCTTCTTGTCTCTCTGCTAGCTGCTCCGTGAAGCTACAGGTGAGACTGCCAAGGCACACNCTTAAAGTTATGCATATATTAGGGCATGGTCACATTGACTGCTGCTGCTAGCTTCTTGTCTCTCTGCTAGCTGCTCCGTGAAGCTACAGGGACTCAGCCTCTTCAGCTCATCCAGGGAACACAACTTGACCCCGGCCGTGTTTGTTTGTTCATCATGCTTATATATCGGACTATTGTGACTCGCTCTGCGGTTGAAACAGACGGTGCATGAATGCGGTTTTGCGGTAAGTGAAATTTGAGTACTTATTTATGTGTTAATGATTTTAATCAGCTACGTAATGAATGTTAAGGCTTGGGTTAGCATGTAAGCGAGTGGTAGCTACATCGGTGCTAACGATGCTAATTGTAGACTCCAAGTTAAAATCATAGACTATATATAAAGGTTAAAACGAATTAGACAAGTGTTAAGCATTAAGTGGGATAATACTGTTGAACCAACGGCTTCTGTTTGAGGTTGATAAAATAAGGTCATCCATGTAACTTAGAGAGATATTTTATTATGTAGGTAGGAACTGTATGCATCGCTAAGGTTAATTTAAATTGGCTATGCTCAAGTATGTAGACAAGCTAATGTCGAAGTAGTGTTAATGAATACAACACCGTCTATAAATTCATTCGGGAAGAATTGCGATATACGAAAATATCAGTCTAACGAGGACTTGTACCTCCACTTAATAGATAATTAACAAGGGTGCAAGTGTGACAGCCACTAAAAATAGGGCAGAAAGGACGTTGCCGTCCGAAAAGGACATAAAGGGGAAAGAGGACATTATACTTTGAACTAGCGTAATTGAGGCGTGTGACTCGGAGAACTAAACCAGGTTCGTCCGGTCCGAAAGTTGACTTTAAAACCTCGAGAAGGAGAATCGGAGCGTCGGATTGGGACGAGGCTCCGTCCAATCGCGTGTCGTTTCAATGGTACCTCTAGATCGGAGACGATTTTTTCTCTTGGATTCGAAGCATCCCTGGCCTTTGGGGGTTCCAGGGACTTCAATCGGCCGGGATTCGCCTTTTAGGATCGAAGCATTCAAATGGGGGTCCACTGAAAAGGTTAACAAACACGGTTGGACCACCATCCGGTCAAAGAATAACGTTATTAAACCCGGTTTGATAAGAAAAAATTGGCGCAGGGTTTAAATTTTTACCAGGCGTTGGTGTCGAACTTCAGAAGCCGCGAAAACACCACCCTTTGCCCAACCCGCATGGGCAAAACGGCAAGCAGCTGACACCTCACACCTTGGGCTACAGTTCCTCGTGTTCCGACTTCTTAACATATATAAAGACGTAAAAAAGTTTGTCCACGTTAAAGTTTTCATATTTATACCATATTCTTTATAACGTTAAGGCTGAAATTAATATCGTATCGATGAAATTCTTTTTTTTTTTTATATATATATAAATTTTTTTTTCTTTGCTTATTAGGCCTATTATCTTTAACTTTGGGCTTATCGAACCGGTTGCTGGCTTTTAAGCTTATCAGTACTTATAAACCCATGTCGGGGATTATATTTTGTAGAATAAACTCTA